CGCTTTTTGATATTTTTAATATCAACTTATGCCAGTACTGAGTCTGCGCTTACGACGGGCTTGCAGCGGGAAACTGTGTGTACGATAAAGATTGAAAAATGTGCCGTGGCGAAGTCGAATTTTGCTAGTGGTCTGGGCGATACTGGCGCAGCGTGACTCCGGGGGGGGGGGCTGCTCGTAAGGTTGCTCAGATTTACGAATGCAACAGGTACGGACTAAGGCTTGTGCAGAAGAGGGACGTAGTTCATACGGCGCCCGATCAACATAGTCCTAATGGTCTTCCCATCCCGGAGGCACATTGCGTCTCGATACTTTTTGAATCTACTATTTAGTTTTGAGTTTCTAGAACAATCAGGATTCTTCAGATTCTTCAAATTTGTTAAAGGTTACTCCAATCAAGGATGTCGTCACTGAGTTCAAAACTCCTGACTCTCTGCAAACGGCCGCAAGTCGCGGTACTAACCACGGAGGTCTGCTTTCATCAAATTTTGCCTTCAAAGGAATAAATGGTAAGTCTCTCATTCAATTTTAGAACTACAAAATTAATTTGTGTGTGACAACAATTACATATGCAATTGCTAGGACACTTTTCATGGTCCTATAAGGCATGTGTTCTGCCCTTTGAAGGTGAAAGCTCTTGTCAGTGATTATTGCGTTTCAGTGTCATCACGGCGTTTGGCTCATACCGACGTCAAATTTCCGGACTTTTCTAACTATCGTAGAGAGGTTACATTAGATACGCAGAAAGCTGCACGTGATACCGAAGATCAGCGGCGTTCGCTTGCCCATGCTGTTTATTACGGAGGTATGCTTAGCAGAAGTGTTTCGCAGTAGAGAAACAGTTTGATTTTTATTTAGCTGGCGGTGTGATGTCTCTCTGGGCTGCCAAAGAAATAGCTCAAGTTTCGGTCTTATTCAAGGTATGTTACTCCGTTTATTTAGTCTAACTGCTTAACACTTTCATTAACGCAGTAAGCTGTAGTCTCTTTCTTAGGCCATGGCTGCTGATCAGCGTGCTTTGGCCTCGATTGAGGTGAATCTGGATGAGATCCCAGAAGGCGTAACGAAGACGTACGAATGGCGTGGAAAGCCTGTTTTCATTAAGCATCGAACAAAGGCCGAGATCGCAAGGTGTGGACTGGCTTGAATAGTGTTAAGTTGAAAATCCCTTCACCTATGCACTGTGCACCGTAGCTACGTGCACTAACCAGGATGAGTTTTGTTGCCTTAAAAGTGTTTTTGTTTATTACCCATCTAGGTCTCTAGTTCATGTCTAACATGATTTTGAAACCGGTTGCTATAATAAAAAGCTTGCACTGTTCTCAAGTTTGAGAGACAAGTGGATTGCTACAGTAAACAGGTAATGTGTACCTAGTTCGTCGGCTGCTTTTGTTACCAACAACCTCTCGCATCTTTCTTTCTTTCTTCTGGTGCTAATTCATGATGGAACTGTGAACAGCCTGTTGGCAGAGCTAGGAAAATCTGTTTTTTTTTACTCGAAAAACGGTAAGGATTTCTTATTGATTGATTACAGTTCGTTCACTGCAGTGATAGGGGTATCGACATTTTTTTGTGGAGACGATTCTCGCGGAATTTTGGGGGCGAAGTTCACCAACAATAGTTCGTGTGTACATTTTTCTGTCTCCGTGTGTTTGGATTTCTCAACCTCACGCTACGGATGAAATCCATTTTCAACAATTTTTACCTGATTCTTCTCTTAAAAAGGCAGTGAGCACGTTAGTTGGAGGGCGGAGTGGCTTTGATGACGCCCTTGGACGTCACTGGTGGACTGGATCTCTTAGCGTATGGGAATCTGATTGAGATCACCCATTTAGGCTCTTCCAATGACGCCATCAAAACCGCTCCTCTTTTCTGTCTTAGTCTCCGCTGCCCCTTAGGAGCGAGCGCTTCGAGTGTGCGGGAGGGTGCAGGCAAAAATCGTTCAGACAGACTTTTTTATTCGCTTTTGCTATAACTCATTATCTTCGGTAGTTAGGAGAAGGAATTTCAAGCAACTTTCATATAGCTCTGTATTTGTCAGGAACAACAGGACGAGGTAAGGGTCGTATTCTGTGGTCAGGGGATGGAGATAATGTTCTTCAAAGAGGCATCATTTTCTGAAAGTTATAGAACATTATAGCAGGAAGGAGGAATACTCATTACGGGTTTTTGGGAGATTTTGAAGTTCACCTGAGTTTTGTCGTTTCAGGTAGTGGTTTAAATTGACCGCGTTAGATTTTACCGTTTCAGCAGCTCTATATATACTGCCTATGGCCGTTATCAGTCAAAGTTATCCATTCTAGGCGAGGTTTTGAAGATGAATTATGTGGAATAGGACGATTCAACAAATACAGAAATAGCATCCATGAATTCTGCGATGGGGTTCGGGAAGGGGTCGTAAAAGTCATGAAATTGGTGCAGCGCGACCGACCCTGATAAGATGACTCGGAATTTGTAGATAAATTTTCCAGCCCACTTGGAAAGGGTTTTCTGTTTCAGCTATGCTATATAATATTAATCATCTCAAACAATTCTGCTTCCTAGTTCCATTGGCAAATTAAGGCTCATCCGATTCGTAGATTTGCTAGTTCAGTGTGTATTTCATGTCCAGCAAGGTAGAAACCTTGCTCCGTCTGCATTGACGCCCAACGTGGAAACTTTTTTCAACAGGAGGTCGGAAGTAACACGCGGTTTGGAATGGGTAAAACTCCAGTTGATAACGTGGAAACATGTGTCCGTGTCCGTGTGTATATGTGTGTGTGTCTTGAAATGTTCTGAGCATTCTTGTTAGAACGTCAACATCGGCTGGTCATCCACACGTCATGTCGTAAGTTACAACACAAGCCGACCATGGCCTAATTTTTTGTTTCCAGCCCCGGGAGAGGGAGGTAGGGTGAGCCAGTGTCGGAAATTCGTCGATGCGTGAGATGTCGGATTTAATGGCTTTTTTTTTCATTTCGGAAGCTGTTCGGAGCAAATCAATTAGGATGTGAGCATTTCTTTGGGGATTTACGCGGATTTTAAAACTTCCAGAAGTTGCATGGGTTTTAAAGACTTGTCTCGTAATAACTTCGTATAGCATACATAGATCGTTTTTGTCTGTTTTCTATGCGGTTTTCATTTATGTAAGGACCTGATATAGAGAGGAATTTATTCGGAATGGAAAACGCTTTATAGGACTCGGAGCATTTTGGAAAACTTCAAATTTTCCTGTTTCCCCAGCAATGCCTAATATGTACCCCCGGCGTAGTCCAGAACCCCACAAAATATCTAGTGTTACCCGGGTTTCTTAGGAATGCGTGTACGTCATGTTGTAGCAGGTTCAGTAACGACAGAAACATGAGTCATCGAGGAGATGTTGGGAGCGGGGTCGTCACTGAAATCGATACAAAACGGCGGTTGACCTTAATAGAATGCTTTATGAATGTTTCCATGAGCTGAGGGAATTTTTGAACATTTGTAAATTTTTGTTGTTTTAGCATTTTTGTTTGTACCCACCCCCCATTCCGTTCCACCCACCCCTTTTTGCTTTGGCGAGAAATGGCAGCTTTCAGTTCGTGATTTTATTTGCTGCCGCCCTTCTCCAAGGGCAAAGACGTAAGCAAACCAGCCCTTTTGGCGCTTCGGCTGGGACCGTATGCTGAATGTTGGGGAGGGGATGGAGTCCCCGACGGTGGACGGACCACTTCAACTCGGTCCTTAGAACCGCCACAATTTGGTGCTTTACCTCAGAACTAAGCCTTAAAGAGAGGACGGGTCCGTCCCCTCTCAAGGCTTAGTCCTGGGGTGAGCAAACCAGCCCTTCTGGCGGAGCTGCTGGACCAGCTGCACCACTTGCGTCAGTACTCTCCTATCGTACCAACCGAGTTGAAGTAAACCGTCGACCGTTGGGGACCCCATCCCCTCCCCAACATTCAGCATACGGTCCCAGCCGATGTGCCAAAAGGGCTGGTTTGCTTACGTCGATGCAAACTAGCCGAGGAGAGTGGATTTTCTTTGGAAACGTCTCCGTCTTTTTTACTGGTCTCATCTAGGGCCTTATATTTCTGCTTTAAGTTTCATGCGCGTAGATATCGGAGTGATTTTGCGCGAGCAGTTGGATGGCTTGAAGCTCACTGAGAGCGCAGCTCCCCTAATATCGGAATACCTCTGAAAACAGGAAATCAAGAGCTTGTTTTATTGAGATCACAATCCTGCAATATAACAATCAATTAACGGCGATAGCATCGATGGGAGGAGGCAGGGTGCCAAACTCAAGGATATTGGACACGGGACATTTTGGGCTGTGTTTGTTGAAGAATGAATGGGGTAGGTTTAGTCGGACTTCCTAGGGAAGATTGGATATTTCGAGAAAGAAGGATATATTTCGAGGATATATTTTATGAGGAATTTCTTGGATTTCAGTAAATGCCGGATTATAGTTCTTAGGGGCATGGTAGTGACACGAGCTTATGGATATTAATAGTGTTGTGCTAGGGAGTGTTGAGAGCAGGAGAATTGGAGGAATCAGGTGTCACAAAATTAGACTGTGTTATAACTTTTGGCCGTTTCCAACCAGTATGACTTCGAGAATAGTTCGTTTATAATCCTGATGGAGCAAAGATTCACTGAGCTGACATTTCAGCGTTATCGCCATCCTCACTGGACTGACGTCTGGGCGTTATCGCCTGGGAAGACAAGGTGCAGTCTATTTATGGCCTGATGTTAAGAAGGTTATTGAACTGAAAAATGACTCCCACTCGTTATTTGCCTGCACATCTGCAAGAAGGGGAAGCTGTTAATGATCTCACGCGTTGTGAGCCTTTGTCAAGTATACTGTAGCGCTCTTTATTCGAACCTTGATGCTACGAACTTAATCTAAAGGGAATCTCTCTTTCTGTGTGTCCTTTGGCCTGTTAGCTGAAATCGATTTTGCTAGATTCCTAGGAAGAAAACACCCCATGGAAATGCCCTCATGAAGGCACCCCAAACTTCGGTTCAGTGGGGAACGGACAATTGCCTAACTAACAAGCGCAGCTGATTTTAGGGTCTTTAGCGTTTTTCAACTGACACCAATACTCAGTTACGTGCAAGGCTCTGCGTGCACTTTTCCATCGATTTTTTTTTCGTCCATCGGGAGGAAAGAGGGTAGTTTCAAAAGGGCAAAGCAAGCGATCGAAACGCAGGAGGGAATATTACTGATTCTCAAGCTTTGTTCTCGAAATGGCAGACACCAGCGGAGCTATTAGCAGGGCGTCGAGACTAGATGGTAGTGCTAGGGCAGCCAGGAGGAAATCATAATGCAAGTAATTTTCTTGATGTTCATGCTGGATTCGTTACGGTACAATCTGATCTGGGTAGGGCCATTTAACTGGATTATTGGCTGGACTTGTTCGTCCTGTGTAGCAAAGTGTAATTTAAAGGAGAGCGCAGACAGCTGAAGAAATATCACTGTGAATAATTAATCTCGAAAGGATGTCTTGAGGCGTTGGCGTGTGAAGCATGTTGTCAAAGGTCTGATTAAGAAATGCATCCTTCTGGGAATTAGGTTTCAGCTTCGTGCAAGAGGGATTTTCCGATTAATCCTCATGCCACGAGCAACCAGCCGGGGTCATTTGTGAGATTTTACAACATTAATTTTTCTCCCCAGACCGTAGAAGCGTGATGACAAATGGGCCGTAGTAGCGTGATGACAAGTGGCGCTGCTACCACATGCGTGGTTCAGGGATCAAATCCTGGATCGTACGCCGCCTAAGCTAACCAAACTTTTTTTTTGTCCTTCGGAGTTAAGGTTGGTTTCGGACCTGACTGAGAGGATAAAAACACCGATTTTCGCATTGCTGACACCCGAAAGTCATTGTATATGACGCATCGCATTCACAATGCATCTACGATCCTAACGGCGGCTGAATCGTGGCGAGTGCCAAAAACTGATCAACGCCGCCTCTTCATTCTCTATTTTTCCCTCTGGACTACGTAGAATTGTTCAGGGCAAATAGGCTCTTACAAAAGCGTGGAACGATATTTCGTCAGTGTAAACAATTTTTACGATTGGCTATTAAGCTCGACTTTTCCTGGGAGCGACGGTACTAAATTGAACAGCATTAATGAGGGAATTCATAATTGTCGTGTTGATTCCGGTTTCCTTTGAAGTAGTATTCCGTGCTC